TCAGATTTGGGAATTAACAAAACATTATTTATTAGATTGAAAGGATCTAGTCCATTCAGACCTTCGAAATTGATTGTCAACACTTTTCTTTTTTGAAGATTTATTTATTTATGCATACAAGAACTGGGGTACAGGCCAGAGGTGTGGGGGGTCGGGGTGAGAGGATTCACCAGAGACAGAGTGGGGAGCAGAACAAGTGGATCTACTGAAATACACTACTGAGGGAGCAGCGGGTGAGGCAGGAGAGGTCTGCTGCGCCATGTGGGTAGCTGTGCTTAACCCCTTGCGCCACCAGGGAGGCCCCCGATTGTCAACACTTTGAATTAAGCTTTTTACTTTGAAATATTTATGTTTGAGATAGTTCTAACTAGGGTCAGTTTTGGGTGTGGTCTCTTTTGGGGGCAGCCTTTATAAGAATTATAATCTATTGAACCTTATTGACTATCAGATACTATGGTAAGTCATTTATTTGAATGAATATATATGTGTACAGGTCTTTTCACAACATGTCTTTGAGATAGGTGTTTTTCTTCTTTTCTATATAATATACACTTGACCAGATGAATTTAGAAAGTAATTTGCCCAGATTACCAGCTAGTCAGCGGCAGAGGCAAACTTCCATCCAAACCGGTCTGACTTGCTTGCATCTGTGCTCTTCAAAACCATGCTTTCTGCTTCTCTTGGGGAGCCTGATTCTTTAAACACCCTTTGAGCTAGTGTCTGTCACTCCTGGGGTGATGCTAGGTATAAATATGCCTTCTAGAGTTCACAGGCTGCATCTGGCAAGGTTTCCTGAACTTTAGTCACTTGGGAGCCCAGACTCAGATCCATCAGCACTGCTGGTCAGGACAACTGGAAGTGCAGACTTTTCCAACAGAGGGTCCTTAGTTCTGTTTCTTCATAAATAAAGATTATACATAATTATTTACACGCAAAATGAGGTAGCTGTTTCTAATTAACCACTTGGTATTTCATGTTTCTGCATGTTCCATTATAACTTTGCATTGACTTTGATTAAATTTGCTACACTAATAAAGGCTATGGAGATACTCCTTGAATTCAATTTTGTGGTTTAGCTGTGCTCTTGAAGTAAAATGGCAGATGGGATCTCATCTGTAATTGTAATGACTTCAGTGAAATAAAACCTGGAGGTGAACTTTACAGAGATATGTTATTGTTGCTTCTTAATACATGGAAGTTTTTACCTTCAATTTCCTATTTGAAGGTAGAATTGCTGCTGCTTAGCAGCTTCTTAGGAGCGTGTGTGTGTTTATACCCATCATTGCGAGAGCTGAGCAGTTGCTTAGCCCGAAGGAACACTGGGAGTTAGGGAAGAAAAGGACTTAACATCTTAGTCTATAATTGATGGGAATCACTTTTGTCACTTATTAAAGTTAGAAAGGAGTGATGAATATTGTAGAACGTCAGGGCCAGGAATCATCTTGGTCAAAGCGGGGCAGTCGGACCTATACATAAGCTCTTGTGGATTTCCTTACGAAGTACCAGGTTTCAGGATGCACTTTTCACAGCTTTATTGAGGTGTGCTTTACATACCATCAAATTCACCTGTTTTACTTGTCTCATCCAGTGATATTTGGGTACCTTTACAGAGTTATGTAACCATCATTACAATCCAAATTTAGAGCATTTCCATTACCCCAAAAAGATACCTCCTGCCAACATGCATTTTTTTTTACCTTATTTACTTGTTTTCCTCAACCATGTCCCTTTATCAAATCAGACACTGATAAAGTCATGTCCATTTTCAAAGATGTCTTTTAAAAATACACTGTGCATATTACAATTTCTTAGTGCTTTTTATATATTTAAAAGTTTTTGCCTAACAGTACATAAGCAGAGTATAAAGGACAGTACTGGAAATGGTATAAATTACCTGTCTTTGTGGTTTTGTCTGGATTTTGTTTCGATCTGTTTTAAAACCAGCAAATAGAATGGTTTTTTTTTTTTGATATGTTGGAAAATCAGTAAAAAGAAATCTAGGTTTAAGATATAATTATTGGGCAAGAAAAATTACTTTAAGATTTGAAACCAAAATAATTGGTTTTCTTGATTTTAAGCCCGTAACACTATGCATTTTATTGTTTGTGCTATAACACCCCCCCTACCCCCAGGTGCTTCTGTGCATGCCACCAAGCAGGCAAAAGTCATTAAATTCAGGTATTCAAACATATTGTCTACTTTCTGAGTTGCTTCAGACTGGATTGTTGTGGGATTTAGATACAGTTTCACCTGCTAGGTAGTGTAGCTGCGTTTTTCCTGCCTGCATCATTTTCTTTTTAGTTACCCTCAAGCGTGGGTGGGAGTGGGTGGGAGGTAAAGCTAACTTGGGGATAGTTGTGCAGAACAGGTTGATCTCTGCCACATTCAGAAGTGCTCTCCTTTGCTCAATGTACCGTGTATATAGATGGATACTGCTGATAGGGTAGCTTAGGGGTGTCATTTTTGGGGGCACATATAATAGAGAGAAGCAATGGTTTGGTTGGACATGTGACATGTTTTGGAAGCTATCTAACTTTCTCTGCTTTTAGATGAACATTTCTCTATGAAAAGTGACCCTAACAGGTGCAAAATAGGTAAGTCAATAACTCCTTGTGTGGTAGGTTGTGTCTGACTTTTTATAGCAAACACGCTGGACAGAGCATTACTCTGATGGTATTTTACTATAAATTCAACTGCTCAAAATAGGTTTATCTTTTTAAAAAGCCTGCGGGCGGTGTATAATTTTGCTGTTATTTTGCAGCCTTTATAGGAAAAAAGCCTAATATCATGCTTTTTGACACTAACTTTCTTGACTTAGAGGAAAATGTGATTTTGAAAGTAACAACTTTGGTTTCTGGAAATTAACAAAACATATGGATGAATAAATTACGTTTTTTTTAAAGACTCCCTTAAATTATTTTAGGTAAATTGCAATTTTAGATCGCATTTCTTTAGATTTTGTATTGTGCTTAAAGATTAGGTTCTTGGCAGTATAAAATTCTATCATAATAGTCAGATCAAGCACACATATACACTTACACGATCAATATATGA